TACACCTAGTTCGTCAAGAATTCTAGATTTTCTCATAGGTCCATTTCTAGATGAGCTAGAATCCCTTGTTGTTGCAGCATGGAAAGACAGCATCATTCTCGGTATTGAGGTGAGAAAAGAGGATAACCCGTTAAGGAGATTTCTGTTTGACTGTCTTGTAGAGTGCCTCGATGTAAAATACACTCGGTATTCTGATTCTGGGTTCAGGACATGGAGTAGGCTACCAAAGTGCATCGATGCAGAAGTTTTGATTAAAACTTTCGATGAAGAAGTTAGGAAGTGGATTAGCTTTTCCGGGAACACAACAGACGGGATAATAGAGAGGGAAATGAGTACTTCATTGGGTAAATGGACAGATTTTGAGATCGAAGCATTTGAAATGGGTGCCGAGATCAGTCAGGATATTGTTCAGATCTTGATTGATGAAATTGTGACAGACCTTTGCAGGTCCGACTTGAGCGTTTACTGATCTTACTCCTAATACAGAACTTTCGCTGGTTATGTAATAATATGTAACTGATAATTACCAGTCCCCCTGTTTAAAATTTTTGTACAAATGAAAGTGGTACATTGGAGGGTTATTTGGTAACTTTCTCACATAGGTATTATAATGTTAATCCTGTAGTAGTAGACGTAATTTTTTTTTTTGGAAGGTTTAGTATTTAATGTACTTGAAAGGTTGTAACTCCTCTTGATCAGTACCTTACTCAAATATTAAAATTTCAAGAGCTAAATAAACCTTTAGCTTCTTAATCTTCCGAAGTCGTGCTCGGTTTTCACCATTCAGCTATTAGATCAAAGCAAGTTCATCAGCCGTGGTGTTCTCCCTTGAATGTAATAAATTCGAACCTTCAGTCTCATGTTTCAAGCTTTCAACACTAATTAAACTCCTACTGTAATTAAGCTATGTCAATGTATCATTTTTTTTGGTAAATATGTCAATATATCATTGATTTGTATTACATGTCTTCCTTTCAAATCAAATTTCAAAGAGCATAGTTGTAATCATGTTAGAACTCAGCCATCGCCCGAAGCCAAATACTAGTTCAACATGAATACAAGTTACAGTCCATGCATCTATGCTCATCAATAAAATATTGCAAAACTGCAAACTCAGATTTTTGATGTTTGATACAGTCCATATGCAAGCCTGAAGCCCAGTTCAAGTTATAGACTCAAGCCCACTGCCCAAGTAAACGAATTCTAGCAAAAATGTCAAAACAAATACGGTTCTGAAGGAAGATCATTAGATTTATTACACATGTATAAACCAAAATTATGTTAGCGGCACTACTTTTATTTTATTTTATAGATTAGCAAAAGACTTTTGTTTTGGATGCTAACAAGCTCAGTTGGTTGAACTTTTGGGATTGGTATCATGAATTTGAGATCAAATTCCGTCCACATTATTGCCTTTTGTGGCTCTCTCTATAATGATATCCTCCCTCCGTTCCTTAATTAGATGCATACTTCTCTTTATTATGTGAGTAATAAATGCTAGAAATAGACATCTAATTGAGGGACGGAGGGAGTAGTAGATTGTAAGATAATAATATTAAATATTATATATATATATATATATATATATATATTTCTATTTGCTATGATGCTATAAAATTAGCATTTATTCAATTTTTATAAATTAGTGAACAGTATCAGGAGTACTTGTGATCATGAAAAAATCATAAATATAATGTGAACCAACAGTAATATTGATTGACATTTAAGACTTTCAAGTCATTCTTTCAATTCCTCCAAAGTTGTTCAAGTCTAGTAATAATAATTGAGATCCTAGTTAATCCATAAAATCATAATTAGTTAATTTATTAGGGCAAGTAAAAGCATGATTACCATTGAAACTAGGAAGCAAGCAATGATGGAAAACAAAGAAAAAGGGCAAAAAAGGCAGAGAAAAACAAAGACCAAAACTTGTGTTAAACAACACCAAATGCTGGAAACACAAGGAACAGAAGGCCGAGAACAAGAGAGTAAAGTGAGATTCCCACCTTCACATGTTATGTTTCAAAGTCTCAACTATGATTACTTTGTCTTTGCCTAGTTTACATTTGGGTCCCATTTGATCTCTTCTTCCTCTTATTCATCATTTATTCGTTTATTCCAAGCAAATCATTTTAAACTTCTAACATTAAACATTTTCGCATCGTTTCGCCAATCACACCTCCAAATCTTACACACTTTAATTTGTACTACAATAAATGTTTCTTTACTATTAGTCGTATTATTTTATAAATGTTCTTGTGTTTGGATTTAATACTATTCACACACTAAAACATAACTTTTTGATGAACATGTCAAAATTTATTATTAATTACTCACTATAACAAAACTTATTCTTCATGAAGTTATTTAAAGTTGAACGGATCGGAATAAGGTCTTACTTGTTGACGAAATACAAGGTGTCGAAATTTGGTGATTTACTTTGCTAAACACAGGGCATTGATTCTTAGCCCCAATTAAAATTCCTCGATGACATTAATTGACCACGATATTTAACAAATAATTACTTTCATTTAAGTAAATAATCGACGAGTAATAACATAAGTTTGATAACTTACCTGTAATCAACTAAGCTTAACAATAATTTAATAGGCGATTAACTAAAACTTAATTACTAAAACTTAATTAAAACAAGCATATAATTAGTTTATCTTACAACACGATAGGTTAAGGCCCTGTTCTTTTGAGCTTGTATAGTAGAGTAGAACAGATTTGAGCTGGTGTTAGCAGAGCAGAACATACTTCAGCAGAGCAAAATAGATTTGAGCAGAGCAGAGCAGCTCTAAAGAATAGGGCCTAACTAGTGTTAGAAAATTTGGAATATTTGTTGAGCATTTTTGGCTAACTTGTAAAAAATCTAACATAACAATTTTGATGATATATACGAAGTATATGTTAATAGTTGTAATGTAGATTCAATGAAAATTCAACAAATTGTAGGAAGATGGATTAGATATATAAAAGGCTGAACAGATGAGAATTGATAGAATATTATAAAGATATAGTGTGAAAATAATAGCATACATAAAAATGAAATGATGTACTGAGTAATCCAAAAGATGTCGTTGGGCTAATGCCGCATCAGATTTCCACTAACTTTTAATTATTTTTTTATTATTTAGACTCATATAAGACTTTCTCCAATTTTACACATTATTCCAAGACTCACTCCAGATTTACTTATTATATTAATTTATTAACATTCATTTAATTACATATTTAATTTTTTTATAAATTATTTTTAAGATGGTGAGTTGACAACTCACTATTGGGTAACAATAAATTTTTTGTACTTTTGTAGAGTCTTACTATGAGTTTTAGATTTCAAAACTCTTCTCAAGACTACGTGTAGTCTTTGTATATATTATTGCAAAAATCTTGCTCAAGACTCATCTCAAGACTTGCAATAAACTCACCCTAAGTTAACCAGAGTACAACATGAATTGGCATCCAGTGAGCATAAGCCAATCACAAGATGATTAGTGAAATTTAACCTTAAGGACAGCATAGATGAACCTGAAAAGTGGATGCACCATGCTTGCTGTACTAGAAAGGGAGCTTTTTATCAATTCAAAGGGGCTACACTACACACCAGAAGTCCTGAAGTACAGGCTACATACCCAAGTTGATCAACACTTATTAATGAGGGTCTACCAACACAACTCCTAGATTCCTTTGCTTTTGGTTTTGTTTCATAGAAGGAGGGCAACTGTGCATCCAATCAATTGAATTTAAATACAAAAGGACATCTACTTGCATTAAACAACAGTATAAGAGTAGCATTACTGCACTAGTAGAATTGAAGATATCAAAAGAAATTCTACTACCCTTCGTATTAATAATGGTTGAAGTTGTGCATTGCACCGTATATCTATGTCTATACATACGGCGGGACCCAGGGAGAGACTAAAAAAAAAATTTGAACAAGAAAATAAGAAAAAAGATTAATAAAAATCCCTAGTAGAGAAAAGGGATAGATAAGCATGGGAAGATTGTTTCAATTCCCCATTAAAAAAGAAGTGATTTGGGCCCCTTTGTCATACTGTTGGGGTTCACTGTTTTGTATATCTGTCTATTTAATTATACAACTATAGTGTAGCTTTTGATCTACCTATGTTATACAGTCCCACCTTTTTATATATTTTTTTATATATATTATAATATCCATGAAATTAATGCTATTGGTGATAGGAGAAAAAAGGTAGATTACAAATCACATCAAATCATAAAATCAAAACAACAAAAACAAACAAATTTAAATTGGTCAAGTAAGCTAATCATATCATCGCCTTATCTCAGATTCTGTTCTTGTGGTGGTGTGTGATTTGTAAACCCAAAAAATAAAAATAATACTGTAATAATAAAAAGATCTTTGAATTAAAATGTAAAAGCTGCTTTTTTTTTCCTCCAATTTTTTCAGAGCATCTTGGCAGAGGTATTTGCATGATTTTATGAATTCTACAAACACGAACACCCAAAAAGAACAACAGTAGAAGTTATTATAGTAGTAAAAAGGGATTTTGATTTTTAAATGAAAGACCTTAAAACAGTATCTGCCACTTTTCTATTGCTCCAGTTCTGAGCAAAGACTCATGCTCAATAACAGAAGAAAAAAAGGGGAATTTTGGCATTCTATAGAATTTGATCAAAGAAACTTTGATCAAATTGATCAAAAGAGGTGTAATGAATAGTCTTCATCAAATTTTTAGCGATGGTAAATCTATACACATGTTATTTGAGTTTAGTTGTTATAGTATTAGTTCAAATTACATTATTAATGTGAATCTTAATTCCGGACACAGGTTTAGTTGATAAAAACAATGATGATCTTTATTTACGCATACAACAACAAACAAAAGAGGACATTATACCATTAGCCTTGTGATTACTCTTTAGACTAATTCATTGACTTACACAAACACAATGATAGAGCAATAAAGAAAAATACAAAGTATCAAACAAATCAACGTTGACCAAAAACAGAAGAAAAATTATCTTGAGGGCTGAAATTAAGAAGCATGATTGATTTTCAACTGGATTCAGAGTAACAAAGAAGTTACAAATCCATTGAGACTATGAAGAGTTATTTATGAGATTTTTTTTTTTTAATCATTTTTTGTTCATCAGAAAAAAGAGGGGAGGTAACTATCAGAAAGAAGTATCCGGATACAAGAAGAGTTACAGAAAAACTCTAAATCATTTTCCTCTACCTCAATGCACATACATACTATATAGATATATGCATTTAGCTCAATGCCCACCAAAGATAAAGAATTAAAAACATCTAATAATGACAAAGTCGAGTTGATTCGAGGAGCGAGCTAACCAGGCCGATTTCTCTTGTGAGTAGCTTTGGCGTCGGATTTTAGAACACCGCTGGAATCACCTTCCGATGAAGCTTCCATGGATCTAGTTAGGGAATGAGAAAGATCAGAATAAAGGTCAACAACCCTCCTTATATTATTGTTAAGCTCCCTTATTAGGCCCACATTCCTGGAAAGGTTATCAGGAATCCTTGACTCATGATTTTGGTTGATCTCATTGATTAGCAATCTGTTCTGATCCAATATGCTCTGAACTTGCACAAAACTCTTCTGAAATGTCTGTAATACCTTACTGTCTACCTGTGTACCATTTCCTAGCCCTGAAAATGTGTCTCCTTCCATTTTTAGAATCCAACACTTTCCCAATCCACAGCAACAAATTCACTTGTCCTTCTCCCAACTGCCAAACAAGTTCGAAAAATTACTAACTTCGTTAGGATCATTGAATTGTGTGTTAAATCAAAGTCGAAAACAGAAACAACATTAATCCACAATCTTAACAAGATGGGTTAGAATCCTACAACAATCTTTATCAAATCTTACTCATATCATCCTCGTAGTCAGAGTTTTGAATCAATAATTATGACATGAAATCACAATCTCCACAACAAAAGTACTCATATAGTCATATCATCCTCGTAGTCAGAGTTCCGAATCCATGATAATGACATACGAGTAAAATCACAATCTTAACAACAAATCTAACTCATACCAATATACCATCTTCATAGATAGTTTCAAATCCATAATTACAACATACGAGGAAAATTACAATCTTAACAACAAATCTTACTCATACCAAAATACCATCCTTGTAGTTAGAGAGGTCCAAATATATAACTAAGACATAAAATCAACAAATCTTACTCATACCAACATACCATTTCGTAGTCAGAGAAGTTTGAATCCATAATTACAACATAAAATCACAATCTTAACAACAAACCTTAATCATATCATCCTCATAGTCAGAGGTCGAAATCCATAGAAAAGGCAAATTACACGCCAATATTTTTTGTACCAAAGAGACAATTTGTACTAAAGATGAAATCATGACCTCCACAAATTGAATTGTCCCCTACAATCATAATTATTTAATTTTTCTGATTTCAGGTAAATTTGGATTATTGGTGAAATTTTTAACTGTTGTGGGAAAATGATAATAATTATAAATTCTTTTTGGGTATAATGAGATGTGAAAAGCAGATCCCATTTTCCATAAAAGGGAACCTTTTTCAAATGTACTCTGAAATACCCACCTAAAGTTTTCACAGTTTCAAAGAAGAATCTCTCTCTCTATCAAATCCCCTCATTATAATTTTCTTGTACGAATTTTGCACACAATTCCCAAACTACAATTATTAAAATTAGATAATTAAAATTAATCTATAATTCTGAATTCATACATATGGAGTAATACTGTACATATCATTGAATTACATAATTAAGCACCCAGTAATTAAATTCTAAAATTTTGAATTTCAAAAAATTAGAAGAAAAAAAAAATGCCCAGAAAGAAAATACTCTGAATTTGACTCAAACTCAAAAATTAGTGTGAAACAACAGAAATTAAGAGGTACCCATTAAAGAGTAATTAAGAAGTGATTAAATGGAACAAACCCCAGGAAATTTAATTAAAGATTAGATTAAAAAAGTGGCGTATTCAAATCTGAAAATTACTTAAGCTTACCGATTTAAAAAGTTTAAAATAAATAATTAACAATTGGAAAGAAAAGTTAAAGAAATGAAAGAATATAAGTAAAATTTTAATAATTTACCTGGTGAATGATTAAGTTTGATTTCCGGGGAAAAAGATTGAATATGAAAGTAATGATCTTCAATTGCTGTGAAATTGATCTTGAAATTCCTCAAAAAGGAAGGAGGAGGAAGGAGGCCCTTTGGCTGTTTCTGGTTTGGCTTGTGTTTTTTATGTGTTCAGCTTCAGCCCAATTGTTAGATCCTACAAGCACATGTAATATGAGCACTATTCTCTCTCCTTAAAACGACACCCCCTTTAGTATTAAACGCATGCTGCCAAAAACATTAAAAATTACTTTATTTAAATATACTCCAAAAAACAGAGATTACATTCCCATAACCTTGCTCACATCAATAAAACAATTTTATTTTTGATATATGTGGGAAGGGATGGTTACTGAGTTATAGTGGACATTAATTTTGACGGGATTTGATCTTTAATATTGGGTATTTATGGGGTAAAGTAATATGCAGATAGGGATAGTTATGGAGTTACAGCGGGTATTGATGTTGACGGGATTTGATTTCTAATATTGGGTATTTGTAGGGCAAGGTAATTTGCGTATAGGGAGAGTTACGGAATTATAGTGGGCATTAATGTCGACGGGATTTAATCTCTAAAGTTGGAAATCTGTGGACAAGGGTAATTAATGGGTAGGGAGAGTTACAAAGTTAAAGTGGACCATGAGAGTTACGGAGTGGGCATTAATGTCGACGGGATTTAATCTCAAATGTTGGATATCAATAACCGTGGATCATCTTCAATTCCCTTACAACTTTAACTAGTACATCTTTCAATGCAATATCGTAATTAAAACATCTCAAGTTACGTATTAAAAAAATATATATTTTAAAAATATAAAAGCGAAACAAATCTAATAAGATTTCACCCGACTATAATTTGAAGCATTAAAAAGCCATTAAAGCACAAGATTTCATTTGTATTGGAATCTCTCAAAATTTCAGAAACAAGGGGATTAATAAGTTATGTCATGTTATAATAGGTAAAAAAAATCTCAAAAGCTAAGGAAACATAGTCCTTTGTCTTTGATTAATTTGGATTTAGTCTTGAGGGAATACGTATGTCTAAAATATCATGCATCCTTATCTTATCCATTTAAACAATTCATAAATTGATAAAAGAAAACAACACTATTTTAGATTTTTTGAATAAATTTTACTCAAAATAAACCAAATCTTCCTAGCAAAAAGTAATTATTTTGATTTTTATAAGATTGATTGTAAACTGTATAGTAATTGTTTATAATTATTTAATTAAAAATATGTACTAATGCATAAAGCCCTAATTAGCTCACCTTAAAAAATTTATGAAAACAAGTTTTAATTAGTAAAAATCGATTATAATGAGTAAATTCCAATTGTTATCGATGAAAAAACTATAATTAATAAAAATTAACGATCTCATGTCCACAAAAGAATTTTAGTGAGTTTGTGACAATTAATTACATTTTTCTCGTCTTGTCTCAAATTCATAACTACTTATCTCCTTTCACTTTTGTTTAAGGTACATGGGGGTGCATATGTATGTTTAAACTCATAACCATGATTTAAAAAGTGAAATCATATACCACTAGGCCACAGCGGTGACTTGTGCACACTAATGTAAAAGATGAAAACCTTTGAACACATTTGTATTCGTAAAGGGTAAGTCTTGGATATGGCTAGTTACACGGTGTGGCCACCCACACGGTGTGGCCACATTAATTTATAAGAACAATCTTCATCTATATGCATGAATAACCTCATTTTTTCATAAGAGTAATCTCATATGGTCTATAAATGTAACCCAAATTCATTATACAAGTAAAATCAAATAATTCAGAAATAAGTAACCCAATTTGTTCATTTGAGTAACCCCTATTCTTTGTTTTAAAAAAATAAAACAATAATTCCACTTATTTAAAAAAGTAACCCTTTTCTCTCATTTAAATAACCTTATATACGTTAAGGTAACCTCATTTGCTCATCACCATGACCCCTATTATTTAATTAATTGTCTTGTGATTGTGTGAAGTGGCCACACCATGTAACTAGCCACATATAAGAATTTGTGATCCGTAAATAATCAACATTTTGATTATTAAAAATGAATCGATTATATTAGGATATGATATTCTATTTACTCGATTTACCTTATATTATTTGAACTTATCGAAATTAGTTATATTTACTTGTACTTTAATTGTCAATTGAACTTGAATTATTCTTATTTATCATTGTTTGAACTCATTTTACAAGTATTTATCTTATCCAAACTCTTTGTTGATATCGGAAATAAATATAGCATAAAACTTCCACTTACCAAATTAGCTAGATGGACTTGGACTCCCATGTTAGTGATCTTACGACTTTATCCAGAAAGTGTATGATTTTGATCTGATATAAACACATAGAAGCACTAAAACTATCAATAATTTCCAAAGAAATCCAAAACTTTAATTATCATCAACAAATATTACTACAATTACTTATCAAACAGCAGTATACCACGTTGAGTTGATATGTACATAATTACTTAAAAAAGATGATTCTAATCCATGGTCCGTTTAGGGGCGACAAATTTAGATTAATAGACTAATTAACAACTAGACACAGTATTTAAGTGATGTGAATATCTAGCTGTCCTTAGCAAATTGCAAAATTACAAGAAAAATATTAATTAACGCGAGTTTAAGGACAATGGATAAGATTAATTAATATTTCTTTTATAAGAAACTCTCATCACAATTATTCCTACTACCACTATAAATGAATCAACTTTCTTCCATTAAGTTAACTTACTAGTTTAAGGTTGGCTTGACATCTTATGGTGTTTTTTGCTTAATTATAAGAATTAAAAAGCATGATTTAAAGAGTTAATTAAATATTAATAATAAGGCGCACCAAATTAGGGATGGTCCATGCTACATTAACCCAGTTAATTAGTTGGCGGATCTTAGTTTTGGACGTGAATGAGAATATATTTTTTTTTCATCATATAATAAAGTTTTGATTTATATTATTATCTCCAATAAGTGCATGACACATGCTTTCAAATTAAGGTTCGGAAGATCTTTAGGCTTGGTCCGAGCCTAAGAAGATTCTCCAAACCTAATAATTTATTTATTTTTGTAATTTTTGTTAATATATTGACACGAGGTGGGTCATGCAACATCACGCTTCACGCCTCACAGATGATATACACGCTAACTAACGTGATGAATGTCTTCTCGATGGCAACGAAAGACACAAGGTATAAGTATAAATAAATAATTAGAGGAAGATATGTTCAAATTTGTCTATGTTAGGTGTAAACCTAAATAGTAAGCTAGACTAGAGGATTTGAAGGATGACCTAGTTATATAATTTTATAAAGGCTCAATCTATTTATTCAAGAAAATCAAATGGTCTTTGATACGAAGTTTATTAGATTACATATATCGTCGATGATGTGATCTAATTAGTTATGTAATAATAGGGACAATTGAGCTCTTATAAATATTTTGCTAGGTAACAATTAACAAGAAAATTGTGAAAGATAAACTAATTATTGACTGGGAATAGACAATCTAAATTTATTGTATCTTTATTATTTTACAGATATAAATTACTTGTATATGATTAGGTGGTTATAATTTATGAATGTTATGATGCACGACCTATTTGAGATAAACTCTACGAGTACCTTACATAGTAAAGTGATTGAAAAATTAATTAAATATCATGTTAGATATCACCGTATATTATACAACTATCTTTGATATTATCACTAATATACTCCGTATTATGATTCATGTATATTATTTAATGAACCATAGAGATTGTGTTAACTTTATCTCTTGTGAGTTGTGACTATATATATATATATATACTTGTACTAGTTCAATAATATAACTAATTAAGCTTTTTTTACATATTCTATTCTAAACTAATATAATAATCTAACACTTTCATTTTGTTGATGATAAAATTATTTAATTAGTTTGTCTGTTTACTTTTCCTTAAATCATTGGTCCCAAAGAGATGTGTTGTAGGTTAAAATACAGAGCATGTATGTTGTTTAGAACATTGCTTTTGGATTTGTATATATAGGTTTGGGCCTTGGGCCAAGCCATCCGTGGCAATCTTGAATTCTAGGGCCCAGGAAACCCATTACCTTCCACAAAGCTCAAAATCAACAACAAACCCTCTCCTTCCATGACCAAATTCCTATCCTTTTTTTTTTATTTTTATTTATCACTCATCAATAAATATTGTTACACTTTGAGCATAACAAAATTAATTTCTCCAAGAAACTAACGTTACCAAATACTTTACCTTTTTCTCTAAGTGTTAAACTTTACATCTTTTTTGATCCAGCGGATATCTTACCTAAGAAGTTTGATTAAATAAGGTATTTGTCACAAATTTATTTAAAATATACGTAAGTAACACTTATAATTAGAACCATGGGAGCATTTTTGCGGCATAAAACCCTATAAACCAATAATTATGAACAACAATACAAGACAGTGTAGAAGAAATTAAATGATCTCCCATTTCTACTCGATTAGAAAAAGATTTATATGTTATACTTCTTTGTATAATAATGTTAAAACATCCACTTTTATGCTATACTACAATCCAAATATTTGGTGTAATCAAATTTCTAATTTTCAACCAAAGGTACAAGTTCCAACGTTGCTTCCTCTACCCTAGAATTACTATATTTGTTTGAGCTAATATTATTGGAAGGAACCAAAACATCATGTTGTGTTACATTTGGTACAAGAAAGATCAAAGCAAGTGTACCTAATCTCAAACAATTTCTTACAAGAACTGCCAACCACAAATTACTAAAATTAGTTCTTGAAATATTGAAGAGATGAAGTACCACTCCTCCAATCATCTTAGAAGAGAGGGAGCCTAAGCTATCTATGCACATTAGAAGTGCAAAAAACGTTCCCTCAATGCCTAAAGGACATAGCCTTGTACTCAAGACTACCATTGGCATCCATCGAATACGCGCGATTATGTGCAAAACAGTTTCCTCAATTATAATGAATAATGAATCAGGGATCCCAAGTGGTAAATTCCATCTTAGGATGAACATAAGATCCAACAGTCCAGATACGGCGTAGATGAGTTGAGCATAGAACAGGAGAGTTCTAAGAGGGTAATCTTTCAAGAACTTGTGGTAGATGAATACACCAACTATAGATCCCACGGCTCCAATTGCATACATCATTCCAATAAATTCCTACTAACAACAAAACATAAACCAACATTGTCAAAAATAGTGATTAGATGTTGCAAATGGGTCAATACACATAGATGCAGAGTACTTGAGGTTAAATTAATTCGAGTCATAAGCACATTGTTTATAAAAAGCTACTTCATGTGATGAATTTAGTATTCAATTAAGTAAATGACAGCAAATAAGTAGAGAAAGGACATACCTTGGAGAAACCGGGACCGAGTTTAGGATCAGTATACCAGTAAAAATGGCCTTCATGAGTGCTATAACTGAGGGCCAAAGACAGAAACATGAAGAGTGATGGTTTCCAAACTTGTGGGAACTTCATTGTTTTATACATATTCTGCATTGCGCTTCCTACCCTTTCTGCAACCTGTATGTGTTTGCTTACATTTACATGATTAAAACCAATTAATATGCACAAAGATTATAGATTCATATGAATAATTGAACTAGCATTAAAAGATAATAATAATTTACAACAAAAAGGCCTAGAAATGATGTGTATGAAATTTGAAATATACCTTGACCTTACCTTGTTAGAAGCATGAGTAGGGTTGGAAAATGATCTTAATTCATAAATAAGGAATCCCAAAACTAGAAATGAAGCTGGTGCGATAGTTAGAAGCCCGAGTGCTTCCTACAAATGAAGAGAACAAAACATCCATAATCTCATTTGTGCAAGTAAAAAAAGTCAAATTTCTGAACAACAGCAAAGCCTTAGTTACAAAATGATTTGGGGTCGGCTAACATGAATCAAGTAGAGTGAAAAGAAGAAAAGAAACCTGAGGTCCAAGCAAATGAACAAGAAATCCACTAACAAAAAACCCAAACAAGTCTCCAAAAGAGAGACAAACCCCACGAAGAGATTGTAATTCCGGGGCTAACTCTTTCACCTCGATGCTACGCTTAGCAATACAAGCATCAATCGTTGCAGTTGCGATGGCCATCCCACAAACAACTCCAATGAAACAAACAAGAGCCAAGCTAACAGGCAATGTGGAGATCATTGTCACGAGTACCGCCGATAAAGCTCCAATGACACTGGCGGCAATAAAATAAGGCCGCCGGTGATATCCCCTTATAGGGAAAACATCACTCAAGAGGCCCCAAAGGGGTCTTAACATCCAAGGAATGAAGTAAAGACCGGCATAGAGTTGAGCTGAAGAAGGGTTGATCCTTTGGACGTCTTTCCAGTAGTAGTCAGTCACGACACGAAAGTATGACTCGATGAAGCCTAAGTTGAGGCCATAGACAATGATGCCAATGACGAGGGTGGGATGGGAAGCGGAGGACATCATTTTGAGCCATTCTAGAGGTTGCAAGACAAGAGATGAGAGTGTTTTTTGGTTTTGGTGATGTGCAATACTTTCGGGGTTTGGTTGTGGTGGTGGAATCATGAAGTCTGTTTCAATAGAGCTCATGATCAATGTGAGATTATTGTAGGAACTAGGAAGCAAAACAAGGGAGTTGAGGAAATAGAGAAACAAAATGAGGTTGGTTGACTTTGAAAGCTTTCAGATCAGAAGAGATGCAATCTTAGCTTGTACTACTTTTATGTAACATGGAAGTTAATTAAATAATTAAAGGGCATGTAAGATTTAATAAACCTTATAATTTTTATTATGGAGTAGTAGTTAGTGAAGGGGGCAAGAGGCAATAGATTATGATTATCTTATAATATATCTATCTTGATAAATACTCCGTATTGTATTGTTTTAGACATTGGTACTTGATAACAAACGGAAAAAAAAGGTAACGTTTCTTTCACAGTTAGGATATCGTTAATAAGAAGTTATGCTATGTCTAAAACTTGCAAATTAGATGCTAAAATAACTCATTCACCTCTATGCTACCCTTTGCTATACAAGCATCAATCGTGTCGCAGTTGCAATTGCCATTCCATCTGCAACACCGATACAAGAGCCAAACTTGCAGCCAACTTCGGAACAAGTGTTACAACAACTGCAACAGAAATGCCAATAACACCAGCAGCAACGAAATAAGGTCGTCAATTATGTAGGCAATGATAATGCAAACTTACCCCCAAAAACTTATAGGTAAGTCGGCTTAAAATTGTAAAACTCGTGTCATAGTAGTATGCATAAGTTCAACATTTTGAGCACAAGGAAATTTATTTCTCCCAAAAAAAAAATGTTACGAATGAGATACAAAATATACCTTTATTTCTAAGTCATAAAGAACTAATACTCCTAAAACTTAGTTAGGCTAACCATATGAGCTACCTCAAAAACTTTTAGTTGGCTTGAAATTGTAAAACTCGTGCCACATTAAGTATGCGGTGATGGTTTCTTCTAACTGACATATTGTTGAGGTGCATCAACACGTGAAGTTTGGTTCAAAATTTCACTCTCAGAATAAAGCTTCCATAACACAAGTAAATTCCATGATTATTAAATAAGTTGATCAAACCATAAACTGAAATTTCCATTATATCCAAGAATTAATCAGCAGTTCATGGATGAATTTCAGAGTTTATAGATTATTCCAAAACATGCTTACATATCCACTGAGAAATCAACAACCATAATCATGATTTATTGTATTCCGTAGTATTTTTTTTATGAAATACCAATGAAACTGAATATCACACACATATACATGAATACTGAATACATCATTTCCCACACTCAACATTCAAACTATATGAAGTATATAACACATGAAAAAAGAATTGATAATGGCAAAAATCAAACCAAAACAACAATATCAATCAAAGAATATAATGAAAAAAATGAAATCATAAAATCAATAATATCTAGTACTAAAAACAGTGCTCTTCCTCAAAACACTAGTATTACCACTCTTCTTTCCAACCTTATTTTCACCATTAGTAGCATTAACAGCAGCAATTGACAAACCCTTCAATTCATCAATACTAGCATAACTCTTTCTTCCCATACTCATCAACTTCCCACTACTCTGTTTTTCCCCTGAATTCACAGATTTACTTCCAACACCTCCCAATTTACTCCCACTTCCGATCATTTTCTCCCTTTTCGACATCAAAGGCGGCGGCGTTGCGCTCTTCTCAAACCTCGGAATCCGATTCTCAGACGGTTTCCGATTCTCTTTCCTTAATGCAGAAGAAAAATCAGGCACTGATTGAGCCAAAACAGAATACCCCTGTTTTTTACCGTTATTCTGTAAATTCCCCTGAAACCTTACATTCTTCTTTGCTGGTGAAAATTCTGATCTGGTTATCTCTAAAAACTGTTCTTCTTCCTTAATTTTCTTACTTTTACCCAGTAAATTCCCCTGAAATCTTGCATTTTTCTTCGCTGGTGAAAATTCTGACCTGGGTATCATCTCCAGAAATTGTTCATCTTCCTCAATTTTTTTACAGTTACCCAGTAAATTCCCCTGAAATCTGACATTCTTTTTCTTCGCTGGTGAGAATTCTGACCTGGGTATTTCCAGAAATTGTTCATCTTCCTCAATTTTTGTACAATTACCCAGTAAATTCCCCTGAAACCTGACTTCATTTTTCTTTTCTGGTGAAGAATCTGATCTGGGTATTTCTAAAAACTGCTGATCTTCCTCAAATTTGAGTCTTTTTGATCGGAGATTTGATTCTCTGAGTTGAGCATAAGCGTTGTATCTTGGCCCTCGTTCCATGAAGTAAGGATCAGTGATTAATTGAAGGGTATTATTGCTTGGATCAGAATAATGAGAAAGAAGTAGGGTTTTTGGATCAAGGGTTAATGTTTCAGCCATTGATCAATCTAATGTTTGAGTAAATTTGCTCTGTTTTTTCTGGGTTTGTAAAAATGTGATTTTTTTTTCCCTTTCAAACGGTCGAATTTTGACGAAGAGAGAGAAAGTAGAGTTTTTTTTTTTTTTTTTTTTGGGTAATGGTGTGTTGGGGAGAAAGATTGTTTGTTTAATCAAAAGAGATTTGGTAATTGTAACGTTCTGATTTTGTGATTGGGACCTTGATTTAGGGCCAAAGAAGAATAGATGAATGATCGGTGCAATTTTAGCCGTTGGATTCGAAGAAAGTCTAAGAGCCGTTTTGTTGATTAAGGGTTGTGATTTTATTGTGAAATTGGATTCTGGCATGGTGAGGAAGTTGATGATGGTTTCTGCGACGTGGTTACTTTTTAGGGCTTGTTTACGTCTTTCCCATGTTACAGTACGGAGTACAATTTATGGTATTTTGTTGTAAGACAAAAAAATACGGCATTTTTTATTTTTTTTTGAAGAAATTACGGTATTTTATACACCATATATTGGAAAATAATAGAGTAACATACATGTATTCAAAAAAAAAAAAAAAAATATAGAGTAACATACATTATGCACTGTAACAAGCTTCCCTAAAAAAAAAAAAGGTACTGTATCAAATTAAGCTTAGTCTAGTGGTAAGGATTGTACCTTCCAACCTTCGAGTTCAATTCCCACAAGAGACACTTTGAGGGTGGGGATCCCTTATCCCTTACCATTACCCCTCACTCTCAAAATGTCTAACCCGCAAATGCCGGACCAAAAAAACCGTGAGGGTTGAGGTACAATTAGGGTTCTTCTCCTTCCCTTAAAAAAAATAAAAATAAATAAATAAATAACATTATGTATTGTATTTTTAATAAGGTAAAAAATGACCATTAGAAAGTCCTACTCACAAGGAGAATTACTAATGTATCAAAAGAAAGAATGGGAAATAGGTTAAAGTTAATTGTGAATTGAGTAAGAAGAAAATAAGTGTGTTTGATAATATGCTCGATTTATTAAGGGATTGCTCAAATGTCTTTTATTGAGTTGATGATTAAAAGGTCATCACCTTCAATTTTAAATGTTCTGAATGTCACATTAGAGAGATAGTTGGACTCCTTTATGATGAGTTGTTGCTTTTGCTGCGAATGTAGATGCCTTGATGAGGGCTCTGCTGACTGCTGCTATCTAGGATGAAAACTTCTATTGTTATTGAGCTATTGCGAACCGAACTGTCAACTTTGGAGAAGTTGTGAGGTGTCTTCCATGATACTATAAGAATGGATGATATGGCACATTATGTATAGCCTGGCTCTAAGAACTGTAAAATTATATAAACATAAAACATATTTTCTCTGTTTTCTCTTATTATGTATAATTAATAACTTTCTGTCAAAAAAAAAAAAAAAATGAAAATTACAACTACAACTACAACTACTAATTTCAACAAGTTTAATTCACAACTAATGTATAAATGTATTAATTACAAGAAGTTAAGTTCACAATTACAAGTTTCAAATAATTTTAGACAGTCAAATTTGGTTGCATTATTTAGGACATTTATAAACAGAAAGTTGGTATTCTAGTGATGAAGCTAAACAAATCATTTCAACTTATAGACCATGTCATAAAAGTGAGTGCCAGGACTAAACATCTCTATAAATCTTACAGGAGGGAGGCCTTGAGCCCATATCATGTACATACTAAAATAAGTAAGATTCAATCTGTGCTCTACTGAAGACCACACGAACGCTGGTTGCCAACACAACTCAAGCTTTTTCCCAGAAAACTCGATGCAGAGCGGAGCAGTCAACTACTAAATTTCAATGCAAGGAACATTTATCCTTTGAAGAGGACTAGAAGAACCCATATATGTTGGCTTGGTCATTAAGACTCGAGAGTGACACAATTTGTACCTACATATGTATGGATAACTTGTTGGATTCACACTTCTTCCTTCAGACTTTGTGATACTTGTACTTCTGCCCGAGATTAAATCTTGTAATACTGCCAGTAAATCCACTAAGCACTAAGGTTCGTACAGCCTCAACACCTTGTTCCAAAGCAGCATCAATCTGTCCATTGAATTAGATACACTCAAATCAATTAGGTTTTTAGTAACGGACACAGTTGACACTTTAAACTGCCTGATAAATCAGTGATAAATCAGTGATAAATCAGTGATAAATCAGTGATAAATTCTTTGTTGGTCTGAAGACATATTTTTTACATTGAGGGTTCTCCCTCCCTTCAGATTGAAGTAAACACAATAAAACATGTCATTGACTTTGTGATGCCTTTTGGCACTAGAAAACACCAACACTTGAACATACAAGCTGAGTTTCATGCTGTTGACATATCCAACTTCAAAGTTATCAAATTTACATGCGAGAAATATCACCTTTTGAAGGATTGCTTACCTGTCTTCTTTCTGTAGGACTAAACTTTTGTAAAAGAAAAGCTTTCATATCCATATTTCCCGGAGGATTCCCGATACCTACAAAGATTGAATTTTTAATTAAAGGGCTGAAATCTGATGCCTGACTAAATGAGGCTTTTCTCTATAGACAGGGAAGATATGATGTTCTGAAAACCAACCTATGCTTAGCCGAGGGAAGTCCTTCCGCCCATCTAAGTGTCCCATCACATTCTTAACTCTGCAATAGCAACATTTCAAAATCATGAGACTTACAACTGATTCAGAGTCAGCAGAATCACCCTATAATAAGGGTCCGACATTTCTAAGACTTGACTGGGAGAAAGGATTACGGTACTGGACAACGTGGACTGACAAATGCTTTCAGAACTTGGTATGTACTCCGTATTGT